GACTTGCCATCACTCGAAGCTAGAAGAGTAAGGGGGGATATGGTGACAGTCTTTAAATTCCTTCATGGTTATGATAGAGTGGATAGGGATCGATATTTCGATATGGCTGGCTCTAGAACTAGAGGTCATAGTTTGAAGCTTCGGAAGAAAACTTGTTTGCAGGATGTAAGGAAATACTTTTTCAGTGTAAGAGTAGTTGATAATTGGAATTCGCTAAGCGAGGAGGTAGTTAATGCTACCTCAATCCATAGTTTTAAGGACAGGTATGATAAGTATCACTAAGTCTAAAAATGGAACCGATCAGGAGACGGGAAGATACGAGCTTTGGGCTCTTTCCCGTAAACACAATTAGGTAATCACAATTAGGTAATCACACTCGCACATGCACTTGTAAGCACGCGCACACTCACACGCATGCACGAATACACCATTCTGGTTATATCATTTTTTTCTGAACTTTTTCTTTCAAGAAGAGAGAGAATGGATATTTTACTTGCATACACACTGACGCACATGCATAATCTCAGTTTTAAACACCCTTCATATATAATTGGGAATATTTTTTAATAAATCAAAAGACTAGGTACTCATATACAAGAACACAGGAGTCTGTTTCAGTAGTTATTGCTTTATATAAATGGCCCCATTCCACCTTGTAAGGATGGTACCCGAGCCAAAGGGCACGCATTCACCACAATCCATTAAATATATCAATTACTTCTCTTAGCTCTTTGGAGATAAAGGATTGACACACTCCTCCCCTACTACCCTGCTTGGGTCACCAACAAGATAGGCGGGCAAGGATATTCTGCCGTGACATCCAACAGCCGCAGGTGGTTTACCCCCACCTCTTCATCATATGGCAACTACCCTCATGTCCGTCCATTACAGTTCACTCAGCTTGGTGGAAGGAATAGAATGGTCACCCTTTTTAGGAACTGCCTGAACTAGAGCAACTCAAATTCTCTTTGTAGATCGAATTGACAGTTAAGAAAGAGTGACAAGAGTCTGATTTCGAGTATCAGATGAAGATAGTAAGGAGAAGGCAGAGAACACATGAAGAGTTAAATAATCGACAAAGGCTTGGAGAAGAGAAGATGGGTACTGGAGCCCTCAGTTTTGAAGACAAGCAACAGAGTGAGTGAAAGAACAGAACCCTGTGGAACAACCATGGTCACTGGGAATGAGCTACATCAATAGATGTGCAAATATATATATATATATATATATATATATATATATATATATATATATATATATATATATATATATATATATATATATATATATATATATATATATATTATATATATATATATATATATATATATATATATATATATATATATATATATATATATATATATATATATATATATATATATATATATATATATATATATATATATATATATATATATATATATATATATATATATATATATATATATATATCCAAATAAGCACATTACATATGTAAAAACATGAATCATTATTTACCCCGACCGGGACTCGAACCTAGGACTTATGATTACTAAGTCAAGGTGCTACCACTACACCACAGAAGGTTAAAAGGAATCCAACCTTATAGCTTATATCTGCTATACTTAGGAATAAACGCGTTCTAACTGAATACCACAATGTTCATGTTGCAGATTCCCCAACCTCACTCGTGGCTTCATTTTAGCATTTAATTCAATTCCCAATCTCATTCGGGCCATGAAATAACCAAATAAGCACATTACATATGTGAAAACATGAATAATTTTTTACTCCAACCGGGAATCGAACCTAGGGCTTATGATTACTAAGTCAAGGCGCTACCACTACACCACAGAAGGTTAAAAGGAATCCAACCTTATAGCTTATATCTACTATACTTAGGAATGAACGCATTCTAACTGAATGCCACTATGTTCATATTACAGATTCCCCAACCTCACTCGTGGCTTCATTTTAGCATTTAATCTGTAATATGAACATAGTGGCATTCTGGTAGAATGCGTTCATTCCTAAGTATAGCAGATATAAGCTATAAGGTTGGATTCCTTTTTACCTTCTGTGGTGTAGTGGTAGCGCCTTGACTTAGTAATCATAAGTCCTAGGTTCGAGTCCTGGTCGGGGTAAAAAATGATTCATGTTTTCACATATGTAATGTGCTTATTTGGTTATTTCATGGCCCGAATGAGATTGGGAATTGAATTAAATGCTAAAATGAAGCCACGAGTGAGGTTGCAGAATCTGTAATATGAACATAGTGGCATTCAGTTAGAATGCGTTCATTCCTAAGTATAGCAGATATAAGCTATAAGGTTGGATTCCTTTTAACCTTCTGTGGTGTAGTGGTAGCGCCTTGACTTAGTAATCATAAGTCCTAGGTTCGAGTCCCGGTCAGGGTAAAAAATGATTCATGTTTTCACATATGTAATGTGCTTATCTGGTTATTTCATGGCCCGAATGAGATTGGGAATTGAATTAAATGCTAAAATGAAGCCACGAGTGAGGTTGGGGAATCAGTAATATGAACATAGTGGCATTCAGTTAGAATGCGTTCATTCATAAGTATAGCAGATATAAGCTATAATGTTGGATTCCTTTTAACCTTTTGTGGTGTAGTGGTAGCGCCTTGACTTAGTAATCATAAGTCCTAGGTTCGAGTCCCGGTCGGGGTAAAAAATGATTCATATGTATATATATATATATATATATATATATATATATATATATATATATATATATATATATATATATATATATATATATATATACATATATAAATATATATATACATATATATATATATATATATATATATATATATATATATATATATATATATATATATATATATATATATATATATATATATATATATATATATATATATATATATATATATATATATATATATATATATATATATATATATATATATATATATATATATATATATATATATATATATATATATATGAATGTAAGGAAGGAAATCTCCTGATATTTAGTATCAATGAAAGGCATTAGAGAAAAATGCTAAATATATGTAGGCCTTGAAGAAATACTATGCTTCGAATATCCCAGTTGAAGAGTAACATTCCTGTCTTCCAGAATTGATTACTTGACCCAAGTTTCAATTCTGGACGAGAGGAATGTTACTCTTCAACTGGGAAATTCGATGCTTAGTCTTTCGTCAAGGCCTGCTTAAATTTAGCAGTTTTCTCCGATGCCTTTCATTGATAATATAAATATATATATATATATATATATATATATATATATATATATATATATATATATATATATATATATATATATATATATATATATATATATATATATATATATATATATACACACCACAGAAGGTATAAAAGAAATCCAATCTTATAGCTTATATCTGCTATACTTAGGGATGAACGCATTCTATCTGAATGCCACTATGTTCATATTACAGAATCCCCAACCTCACTCGTGGCTTCATTTTAGCATTTAATTCAGTTCCCAATCTCATTCGGGTCATACAATAACCAAGCAAGCACATTACATATGTGAAAACATGAATCATTTTTTACCCCGACCGGGACTCGAACCTAGGACTTATAATTACCAAGTCAAGGCGCTACCAACTACACACCACAGAAGGTATAAAAGGAATCCAACCTTATAGCTTATATCTGCTATACTTAGGAATGAACGCATTCTATCTGAATGCCACTATGTTCATATTACAGAATCCCCAACCTCACTCGTGGCTTCATGTTAGCATTTAATTCAGTTCCCAATCTCATTCGGGTCATACAATAACCAAGCAAGCACATTACATATGTGAAAACATGAATCATTTTTTACCCCGACTGGGACTCGAGCCTAGGACTTATAATTACCAAGTCAAGGCGCTATCAACTACACACCACAGAAGGTATAAAAGGAATCCAACCTTATAGCTTATATCTGCTATACTTAGGGATGAACGCATTCTATCTGAATGCCACTATGTTCATATTACAGAATCCCCAACTTCACTCGTGGCTTCATTTTAGCATTTAATTCAGTTCCCAATCTCATTCGGGTCATACAATAACCAAGCAAGCACATTACATATGTGAAAACATGAATCATTTTTTACTCCGACCGGGACTCGAACCTAGGACTTATAATTACCAAGTCAAGGCGCTACCAACTACACACCACAGAAGGTATAAAAGGAATCCAACCTTATAGCTTATATCTGCTATACTTAGGGATGAACGCATTCTATCTGAATGCCACTATGTTCATATTACAGAATCCTGGTCGCGGTAAAAAATGGTTCATGTTTTCACATATGTAATGTGCTTGCTTGGTTATTGTATGACCCGAATGAGATTGGGAACTGAATTAAATGCTAAAATGAAGCCACGAGTGAGGTTGGGGATTCTGTAATATGAACATAGTGGCATTCAGATAGAATGCGTTCATCCCTAAGTATAGCAGAGATAAGCTATAAGGTTGGATTCCTTTTATACCTTCTGTGGTGTGTAGTTGGTAGCGCCTTGACTTGGTAATTATAAGTCCTAGGTTCGAGTCCCAGTCGGGGTAAAAAATGATTCATGTTTTCACATATGTAATGTGCCTGCTTGGTTATTGTATGACCCGAATGAGATTGGGAACTGACTTAAATGCTAAAATGAAGCCACGAGTGAGGTTGGGGATTCTGTAATATGAACATAGTGGCATTCAGATAGAATGCGTTCATTCCTAAGTATAGCAGATATAAGCTATAAGGTTGGATTCCTTTTATACCTTCTGTGGTGTGTAGTTGATAGCGCCTTGACTTGGTAATTATAAGTCCTAGGTTCGAGTCCCGGTCGGGGTAAAAATGATTCATGTTTTCACATATGTAATGTGCTTGCTTGGTTTTATATATATATATATATATATATATATATATATATATATATATATATATATATATATATATATATATATATATATATATATATATATATATGAATCATATTTACCCCAACCGGGACTTGAACCTGGGACTTATGATTACTAAGCCAAGGCACAACCAACTACACCATAGAAGGTCTAAAAGGGAAACAGACCTCACAGCTTATATCTGCTATATTAGGAATGAACGTATTCTATCTGAATGCCACTATGTTCATATTACAGTTACCCCTAACCTCACTCGTGGTTTCGTTTTCGCATTTATTTCAACTCCCAATCTCATTCGTGACCAACAATAACCAACTAAGCACATTACCATATGCGAAAACATGAATCATTATTACCCTGACAGGGACTTTCACATGGGACTTACAATTATTAAGCCAAGGCGCTACCAACTACACCACAGAATCTCTAAAAGGAAAGCAGACCTTACAGCTTATATCTGCTATACTAGGAATGAACACGTTCTATTTGAATGCTGCTATGTTCATATTACAGTTTCCCCAACCTCACTCGTAGTTGCGCTTTCGCATTTAATACAACTCCCAAACTTATCCAGGGCCAACAATAACCAACTAAGCACATTACCATATGTGAAAACATAAATAATTTTTACACCTACCGAGACTTGAACATGGGACTTAAAATTACTAAGCCAAGGTGCTACCAACTGCACCACAGAATTCTAAAAGGGAAACAGACCTTACAGCTTACAAATGCTATACTGTAATATGAACATAGTGGCATTCAGATAAAATGCATTCATCCATGTATAGCAGATATAAGCTGTAAGGTGTGTTTCCCTCATAGATCCACTGTGGTGTAGTTGGTAGCACCTTAGTATAGTAATTATATATCCCAGTTCAAGTCCCGGTCGGGGTAAAAATTATTCATGTTTTCACATATGGTAATGTGCTTATTTGATTATTATTGGTCCCGAATGAGATTGGGAGTTTAATTAAATTCCATCTTTTCAGAGCAGTGATAGAAGTAGCTTAGATAAAAAAGAATGACGTAATACTGTATGGCAAAGAGAAAGAGAATACTGATTAAATGTAAGAGAAGGGTCTTTAATGAGTATTATTGACATATATTCAGCCCTATCAAGGGGTTGAATCTGAAGCCTCAATTCCTTTATTGTCATCTCAGCAATTGTCAGGGCTACCTGATCAGGGTTGCGAGTCCGAAAACAGTAGTCATTCCATGGTAAACCAAATGGAAATTTACGCAAATTATCTTGCTGCGTATGCTCAAAGAGCCAAAAATGGCCCTGGATAGGAACAATTGCTGGTGGGAAAGTGCAAGTGGAAGAGATTTAGTTATCAAGAATGGAAAGTATAGTATATATATTAACTGTATGGTATTGGTGATCGGGAACAAATTTAGGATGTTTGATATTCTGCTCCAGATCGTGACAGACACAGTAAGGGCCTCATTTCCTTCCACATCAGTGGGAGAAATATGAAGCCACTCACTGTGGTGTACATTGAAGTCTTTAATGTAGAGAACTTCAGCATGTGGCAGAGAAAATAGGAAGGCCTAATGGTAAGATATGAGATATTCAAAGAAGAACACAAAGTCAGTGGAGTTAGGAGACCAGTAGCAGAAGCAAAGACATATTGGAGAGATGCAACTTCAGCCAGAAAACTTAGAAGTCAGGAGATTCAAGGCTAATGAGCCTTGCAAGAGGAGTGGTAATGCTACAGTAAGCACAAACCCGACCTTGGAAATGAAAACGAGAGTGGAGGTTATAGTGAGAGATTTGAAATAGGTCAGGGAACGCACAGCTAGATAGCTGGGTTTCAAAGAGCAGGAAGAGGTTAAGAGGGATGCACCCAAGTGCTGTTCCACAGATGAAAGTTTAGAGCTGAAACCCAGGATGTTAAAAAAGTATATAGTGAAAAAAGCAGATCTATCTGGAGGTGCAAAATTATGAGTGAAGCCATTACCAATACCAAGTTTGTCTACCCTCACGACATTAGTGGAGTCGACAAGATCCACGGAGATTCTTAGCACCACTTTATGGCGTATACCGAGGGCCATAAGTTGTGAACCTTCCTTAATTATATTGGGAATTAGGAAAAAAGAAAAGCAAAACAGAGGTGGGGAGTGTTTGGACTCGTTAAATGTAAAAGGATAGTAAGAGATTTGTAATGAGACAGAATAGTATGTGTAGATGTAGGAAAAGGGATAGAACCGTGACTGAGAGAAGACCTAAAATGGAGATGTCTTGACCAGTCTTAATTAATTCGAAATTCATTCAGTTGTAGTTGAACTTTTTTACGAATCTTGCTGAGCTACTGTTGTGTCAAGATGCCTTGTTCTTCTTCAGAGAGTAAAAAAATCCAACGGACTTTGCGTGTATAGGGTTAAATAAGTAAAGTACAAGGGTTAGGTGCGTTTGAATCGCTTATGAAAGAGTAGGTCGAAAAATGAGAGCTTTGTTAGTGGGAGAGAAGGCAATAGAACCGTCAGATAAAAATGGGAGAAGGAAAGAGTGAGTTACAGAAGTTTTTGGTGAGTTTTTAGGCTAAGGATCAGGAATATATTGCAGTGGGAGAAAAGTTCAAGCCATCAACTTTCTTTCTAAGAAGGAAACTTCAGACTTACGAATATGAACAGGGCATCAATTTCTAGATGTAATAAAAATTGAACGAGTTAAATCAAGGGGGAGATTTAATATGACTGGCTTGCCTGAATCCTGTCCTGAATAGGCATGAGGCAGTCACTTTCAAACCAAGGATTAGATGGAGAGAAACATTTGATAGAGGAGGACATGCATGCTTCCATTCCCGAGGTTTTGACCACAACAACTGTTTAGGTGCCTAATCCAAAAGGAGGAGTGATCCGATGGAAAATCAAGGAGAAAGTTATACAAATCATCACGTGGGTATGCTCTTGGTACCTAAGAAAGCGTTGGGTAGGAGAGATTTTTGAAGTGGAGGCGGAAAAGGAAAAGACTGAGATCAGAGAGTGATCAGATATATTAGGAGGGAAAATATTCACAATACTTAATAGTTTATTAGATTAAAATTAAAGAATTAGTCAACAATGTTCGCATCATGGTCGTGTCAAGAGGTAACATGTGTAGGATGTCTGCTAATCGGCTCCAAGTCATGGGTGACAGAAAATCAAAATGCTTCATTTCCCCTCACATCAGAGTGACTAGAATAAAGCCACTCACACTGAAGACTCCACTGTAGAGAACCTCAGTGTGTGGGTGAGAAGACAGCAAGGACTCATGGCAAGATTAGAAATATTCTAAAAAGGATTCAGTCAGTGGAGTTGGAAGAGCAATATCAGAAGTAAAGAAATATAGTTATGGTTGAAAGATGCATCTTCATCCAGAGATCATCGAAATTAGGAGATTTAAATCATAAGCCTTGCATAGGGTGTGTTAGTATCACTTTAGACATAAACCCCTACTTTGGAATGGAAATGAGAATATATTTCATAGTGAGAGATTTCAAACAGTTCAGGGATGGCACGACTACCTGGGTTTCAGAGAAAAGCAGATTTTTAGGGAGGGATGTCCTCAAATTCTGTTCTAAGCATTAGATATTACAATTTAGCTCACGCATCTTAGAAAAATTTATAGTCAGAGACACTGATCTATCGTCAGGTATAGGGTTGAGAGTAGAATTGTTACTACCATCGAACATGTCCACTGTCATGCCTATAGTGGATTCACCATGTTACCTCGATATTCTTAGCACCCCTTGTTGCCGGGTACCAGGGGCTAAATATTATGAAGCTTCCATATTTATAATAATTATAAGAAAGAGAGAATATATATATATATATATATATATATATATATATATATATATATATATATATATATATATATATATATATATACACACACATATATATATATATATATATATATATATATATATATATATATATATATATATATATATATATATATATATATATATTATAATAATAATAATAATAATAATAATAATAATAATAATAATAATAATAATAATAATAATAATAATAATAATAATAAAAATAATATGCCTTTATTTCTCAAAGCATACAGGATTATTTGTTGATTCTATGTGCTGTGGAGGAGACATGATGTGGACATACCGTAACCCTTAGGATTTATTACAGTATACAAGTGGATGAATGCAGACATAGGCCATAAGTGCAAACCACAGACCTATTGAAGCACTAAAAATATGTGCTCCTAGTTTCTTTTTAATTGCTGATGTTGTTCCTGTTTCACTTTTGTCCGGCAGTCTGTTTCAAAGGTTGTGACCCCTGACTAACATGGCTCTGTCTACCATTTTTCCTTGCTCTTGACAATGTAGGTTTTTTAATGCAGGGTGTTTATTTCCACTTAATCGCTAAGTTAATATTCATAACTAATTCTGTTAAAACACCTTTCTTTAACTTGCACATAAACGTCGCCCTGTCGTATCGACTGTAATGCTCTACTTTGAGCCAATTTAGGTCCCTAATGAATGGTATTGCACATCCATATTTTTTGTCATGACATGCAGAGCTTTTATCAACAAAAATCTGAATCTTTTGAATCTTGTTAAACAGACTTTTATTACACCTGCTCCATACCTTGCAAATTTATAATATGTAGCTAAGAACTCGATCTTCCAATTTTACTGTCCTGCTGGGGCTGTCAAATGCATTTTTATTATTATTATTAAAGAAGGAGAGCATACCTTTTGCCTTAGGACAAATATTTTCGACATTGCATTCAAATGGCAGGTGACTGCTAAGCATTATTCCCAAAGCCCTAATCAATATCAGACCCTGTTTTCATTGCTAGGGTTCGGGGTAAATGATCTAGATAACATCTTAATCCAATAAAGATGAACTGAATTTACTCTTAATGTGTTTCTTGCAAGATAAATTATTCCTCTTTCAACCGTGCATTCCATTTTTAAGATCAAGGGGTCAATAGGTTCTGTATATTTAGAGAGAAAACTGAGCATCAATGCAAATTGGACCAACTTAGGGTTCTGAATAACATCTTGGAAACCTTGGATAAATATATTGAAAAGTAAAGGCTCGAGACCTGAGCAAATAAGATTGCCAAAATTAACAGAGTTCTTGGATGATATTTCATTTTTTTTTTCATTGACTGCATGCAATTGTGC